TCTAATCCTTTCATTTCCTTGAATGCTCCTTGGTCTATGATGTTCAAAGGGTTATTGGTAAGACTTCTGAAAAGCGTAGAAGAACATTATCATGGGATTTAACGCAATTAATTGCTGGGCTATTTAACGAGACCCCTACAAAAATGATATAGATTCGAAAATGTTTAGCTGTGGTTTTGAAACAGAAYATAAAAGTTTGCTGTTTCACCATCGCGGTTCAGAAAAAAATATCAAGTATTTAAGTATAATGCAATTGATCCWTAATTCCGTGATAAGTTATACAGGGTTTAAGATAAAGACCRAGGAAGCAGSGGAACTTSCCCCAWCAATCYCCCCTCCCTCACATTTAAAGCCAAAAATGATTTTTGTTAGGAGTTTCTAATGCCTTGGTCTGACTTTAATCGATGCAATTGCCTCAATTTCATAATTTTCAGGAAGGTGGGATTTCCCCTGCCAAGATACCCCCTCCCCCCACTCCCCACGCCCAACACACACACTCAAAACTATGCTAGAATGGAACAAGATTGGTGTCCATTATCAATAGAGGCCAGATAACTATGAAAAATGAGTGCTTCTAATTCAATTTACATGAAGAGAATATCTTTGGGTCCAGTAAACATTTGTTTTGTAACCTTTGTTAGCTTGTTTCCATCCAAAAATCTGAAAGAYCAATAAARATATATAAAGCTGTTRGGAAAGCTTTACACTATAATCAGTRTATTTCAAATAATCRGTTAAGGTCATTGAATAAATAACTTACAGATAATATAGGGATTTCTGTTTCTGGAATGCTAAGTCTTCGATTTCTGTAATATCAGCACTTGTCGCAGACCTGTTACAAGGAAAACTTTTTACAATGAAAACGAATAATCAGTTTTTGCCACAAATTGTTAATTTCTCGCTCGCTGATTGGCTATCTGTCATAATCAATAAGAGGGCAGACAAATGAGTTGACGTCAACGAACGTGCACTCTTTCCGTTGGTTGTTTTGATCGCTAAAGAAACGTCGGGAAAATGCGTGTTAGTGAATTTTTTTAGGTTAAAAACAAATAGATGTCCCTTTTCTATGGTCTGTACTCTTATCGAACATTGAATAGCGTCAGCATCTAATCCAAACTTT